TTTTTTTTTTTTTTTTTTTTTGTAAAAACGGAAGGCGTTAGAGGGTGGAAAATACGACTTCGGTTACAGAACTTTGCAAGAAATAATAATGTACTTTACTTATGTAGCGTAATCTTCTAGTAATTATAGTAGAATCGAGAAGAGAGCGATCTGTCGTGAAAAAGTAAATCAGAAATCTGGAATAAGATAATTTGCGAGGAATGGAATTTGATAATTTATCGAGCAATGTTAACCGAACGTGTTGAAACTCTGTTCCGTAGAAAATGAAAAACGTTATTCTATATTTTTACCTTTTTTTCCCCCATGTACCTATTCGTCATTTTTTTTATTCGTTTCGGCACAGAATTTTGGAGCACAACGATGTTTAACACGTGGTTGTTCCATTTTCTCTACCTAACGCACGCGTTTACACAAATCATCGTAAAAACATACGTGCTGTAGCTACGGAATTGTAGCTGATATAAAAGCAACGGTATAAATGTGCGACTCCGGCGGCGAAGTAAGGTTTCGATGCCGTTGCGAACAATAAGTCGCAAGAAATGACATCAGTCTCGTTACTTTTCTAACACAGCACGTATTTCGCCGGGTGACAAAGAGAACGAAACGACAGTCGCGAAATTTAGTTTCTTGCGCCGAGAGAACGTCTCGAAGTTAGTATCTGGGTATTGTCGTGATATAGTCTGAGACTATGTCGTTGATAAACTAATAATGGCACGCGGGTAGATTTCCTCTTGGCAAAAAGACACCGCCATTAACTCGCAGCTCTCCGGCCAAAAGGTTTAGCGATGTAGTTTTTCCTCGAGATAAAACAGGGCACGTCCGTGTCCCCGACTGGTTTTTATCACCGGCCTCCTGGTGATACGTCATTCGGAGAAATTTATTCGATTTATTCTCGGTTCTTCGACCGAGATTTTGGAAGCTTGGCGTACCGAGATTAATTGATTTCGGTGTTAGTCGCTTTAACTTCGCCGCGTTTCGGCATCGATCCGCAACTCGCGAATTAAACGACGTGAAATCGGTCAGTTTCTAAAAGGGGGTAGAAGGCGGGGGGGAGGGGGGTGGAAGTGCGCTGTGTACACGACAATCAGCAGGAGATTCGTGCACGAGCTGCCTAATTGATTAATTAGTTCGTTAATTCGCTTACATATTCCTTTGAAAGGCTGGCAGAAGGGGCAAGTTGTCGGAAGCTTCTTGATTATCCGTACTCTAATTGCTCGTTGCCTCCGCCAGGCGGAAGGAGGGGAAGTTTTTAATTAAAAGAGACACCCTCGTCGTCTGTTCGCACTCGGCAAAGCTCTGCCGGTCCGGCTTAACTCTATGCAGCATCTATGCCGCGGCTGCTTTTCGCGTAGCTGGCCAAACGCGAATCTCCACGCTCGTTTAATCAACGAAAAGAAAATATTTTGGCGGAAGGCCGACGACGGTACGGCAGCCGGGCCG